TTGGCTGCTGGGGCTCTGTTGGGGTGAATGGAGGGACTCACCCTGGGGATCTACACCACTTTTTATCCGGTGTATATATTATGGGCCTGAATCTGTAGCTGGAACTATCACTGGTGTCCCTTTGCTGGGGCCTGCTGTTCTGGAATCTGTTGCTGGGCCTCTCGAGGACCACGGATTTGCAGCATCCTGTCCTGTGAGCTGTCCTTGGTCTCCATCCATGGCCACACGAGTGTGTATGAGAGCCCTACCATCCTGCATTCTGCTCCAGTGACAGTGAGGTCAAAAAGAGACTTACCTAGCTAGGAGCTTCATTTTTTTCCTCCTTGTTTTTTGTGGGTAGGGCATATACCTGGCTGTGCTCAGGGTTTTAACTCTTGCTCAGTGATCATTCCTAGTGGTGCTTAGGGAACCATATAGGGTTCTGGGGTAGAACAGGGCTTGGTCACATGCAATGCAAATATCCTACCTGCTGCACTATCTCTCTGGCAAGACTTTGTTGTTGCTGTTATGGTCTTGGGGCCACACATGGCAGTGCTCAGTTTACTCCTGGCTCTGCAGTCAGGGATCACTCCTGACGGGGTTTCAGGGACCATACAGGCTGCTGGGGATTGAATCTGGGTAAGCCGCATGTAAGGTAAGCACTCAACCTGCTGTACTATCACTCTGACCCTAGTCCTAATCTTTTATCATCATTCCCATCTTAAGCCACTCCAAATGAAATATAAAAATATTTTATCTATTTTGACTGGATATTTTTTCAGACATAAAATGGTCAACTAAATTAACTAGATTTCCTGGCACCCCTCTTCTTCACTCCCACCATATCTACCAAAATTATTTTCAGGTTTGGGTCGCTAAGTAGTGCTCTGAAACTTCTCGTGGTTCTGAGCTCAGTGGTCACTTCTGACTGTGCTTGGAGACCATATATATGGAGCAGCAGACCGAACAGGCTTCCGACTTGCACAGCATGTGTTCGGGCCCACTGAGCTCTCTAGCCCCTTAAGGAATCAATTCTGTAAAGTGGGTTAAAGGGCAGATAAAGGGACTTCCACATTCACTTTGTATATTTATGTGGTGTAAACAATTTTTTCATAAAGGTGTATTACGAAATTTGGGGGTGCTTCCCTGGTGGTGCCTCAGGTCTAATGGACCTTTCCTAACGCTGAGTTTGGTGATATGGGCCTCATGGTTTGGTGACCAGTCCAGCAATGAACGCTCCTGAGGCTGATGACATTTAGATGGCTACCAGGGCTATACCTGATGGTGTTTGGGAGACCGGGGCTGGGGGCTTTTCTTTTTTTATTTTGTGAAGGAACCACAGTGCTCACTACTTACTCCTGGACCTGTGCTCAGGAGGACCTGTGCTCAGTAGTCACTTCTGGTGGGACTTGGAACACCACAAGTATCACTGGGGAAACAGGGTCATCTGTTTGCAAGGAAAGCCCCTCAACCCTTGTACTGTCTTTCTAGCATCTGCGAATTTTAAAAATTTTACAAAGAATCACTGATTCACTCATAAAACTAATTAGGGAAGAGTGGGGCCCTAATAATGAGGTCTTTGGAGAAATTTTTCCCCTTTGGGAAAAAAGCCAGCTCCCATGTCATTTACTAATATTTTTCAATGCTATTTGGTAAAAAGTTTCACTTCCTGCAGATTATTTATGACCTTTTAAAAGGAAGTTATTAGTTGTGTTAGTTTGCAAAACTGCAAAGTGAACTTCCAATGAATTAGGAGATCTTTCTTTTATAATAGGTAGGATTCGCTCTCCTCTACTGGTGGGGCTCAGGGAACTATATGTGGTGCTAGGGATTGAACCCAGGTCAACTGCATGCAAGGCAAGCACCCTACCTACTCTACTACTGCTCTGGTCCCAAATTTGGATATCTCTAACTTGCCACAGAGAGGTTTGTTGGTTGTCTGCTGATAGCTTTATCTGTAGGCAACACTCAACCTAGCAATAAAATCTACAAAGTGGGCAATAACAGGAAGTTCTAAGAATTTACACTACAACTAGACCACAAAATGAACCAACACCAAATAGAAAATACCAGGGAAAATGAAAGTGGATAGGTTTCGGGTGCCTATACTTCATTGGGGAAAAATGACTCACACAAAAAAAGATACAAAGAAACAGAGAACATGTGAGCTTGTTTCCCATTCATAATCTTTCCAAGAACACAGATGTGCCAAGCAGCTCCTATATTTTTTGTTAAATTTTCTTTAAAAAATACTAAGAAAAAAAGGAAAATCATGTACAATAAAGAACCCTGGAAAGAATATAGTTTAGCATCCATGCAAAAAGATTCTTCCTTACAACATGCATCATCAATTTTTGAAAAAGTTAAAGGAGGCAGAAACATTTGTTCTAATTAAATATTTAATTGTTTTTCTTTCTTTCTTATGGTAGGAGAGATAGCACAAAGGGCTAGAATTGGATGCTTGGATGGATAGGAACCCACTTTCCTAGCACACAAGGTGTACCCCTGGTGGCCCCCACTACTTCTGGGGAGACCTTGTATCCCCAGCCCTAAACATGGATATTTTAACTACTTTGTTTTATAAGTTTTATATAATCAATACGGGCTCTTGTCAAATGTGCAAGGAGCATAGATACATGTACTGAAATACTTATTACTGTACAGAATAAGCACTGAAATTTTAAAAATTAAAAAAAAATAGATTTAAGAAAAGAAAAGAAGGCACATTAATAATAATCTCCCGTGTGCTGAAAATGGGTGAAGGGCCAAGAACAATTTCCCCTCGGTATCTGTATTACAAGTCATATGCGAAAAAATAGAGAAATTAGGGAAGAGTGGGGATTAGAGAGAGAGAGAGAGAGAGAGAGAGAGAGAGAGAGGGAGAGAAGTGCCTGCCACAGAGGCAGGCTGGGGTTAGGGGGTGGTAGGAGGGACACTGGGGACATTGGTGGTGGGAAATTATAGTGGTGGAGGCATGAGTGTTGGAACATTGTATGACTGAAACCCCATCATGAACAGCTTTGTAACTGTATATATCATAAGGATTCAATTAAAATCTCCCCTCCTTCACTCATATAGACTCATAAAGTTTGGATTCCTGTAATCAGTTCTACCACAAAACTACGATTAGAAACGAAACCTCGAGTCCTCATCCCATACTGCTTTGGCACAGCTTTAAGACTATGAACACCCTGAATTTGTCCTTTTGCTTCTGGCTTACTTCACTGAACATGATGCCTTCCAATTCCATCCAAGTTGTTGCAAACTGTATAACTTCATTATTCTTTAAGGCTGAGTAGTATTCCACTATGTATAAACTCTACAATTTCTTTTAAAAATTATTTATCTACCATTTCTATATTTATTTGGTTTTTGACATATGACTTTCTTCTATATTCTGGATATTGTACTGAGAGCTCAGTAAACACAAGTGTGCATATATCTTTCAGGATGAGTGATAACAGACCTTGTGTACTAGAATACAGACCCAAGAGTGCCAGGCTTGGGGTGATAGGGTGAGGGGAATGAACAGATTTACTGGACTGGAACCTGGATGGAGGAACTTGAGCACAGGGTGCTGAAGGAGGTAGCAATATACACCAAAACCATAACTGAGAATCAACAATTAATGGGAGAAGAGTTCGGGGGAGGAAGAATATTGAACTGGAGGTGACCAAAGGAATGGGGTAAGGTCAGGGCACTTTGGGTTGTGCAAAGTACAAAGTCACTTTGCCTTCAATATCAGAAATGTGAACATGATTGTAACCCTATTATCCAAACTATAACGAGAAATTTAAACACACACAAAAACACACACCTCACATATACAACTGACAAGAACACACACAAAAAAGACTATGAAAAAAATCCTCAGGAGCTGGGGCTATGGTGCTGAGTGGTGGAGCATAGACCTGGCATGTGTGAGCCCTGAGTTCAATCCCTGGCACTGAATGCCTCCCCCATGCCTACTCTGTTCTGAAATAGTTGCCGGTTTCACCCTTCACTGACCCTCACCCCTGTGGAAAAAAAAAATATGACTGAAAATTTCTTTAAAAATTTCATGGAATATAAGTACACTTTCCTCTTTTCGATAGTATATTACGTTTGTTTGTATTTTTGGTGGGCTGGAGTGATAGCACAGCGGGTAGGGCATTTGCCTTGCACACGGCCGACCTGGGTTCGATTCTTCCATCCCTCTCGGAGAGCCCAGCAAGCTACCGAGAGTATCCCGCCCGCACGGCTGAGTCTGGCAAGCTCCCCGCGGCGTATTCGATATGCCAAAAACAGTAACAACAAGTCTCACAATGGAGAGGTTACTGATACCCGCTCGAGCAAAAATCAACGAACAACGGGAGGACAGTGCTACAGTGCTACAGTGTATTTTTGGTCTGAGGGCCATGCCAGTGCTTGTGTCACCATGTAGTGCCAGGGATCAGACCCAGGCCTCCCAGGCGCCTGACCCTGAAGCTTCCTGCTGGACACCACCCACCGACTCTCTGAGCCTCTCCAGCTAATGCAGGAGCTCCAAATAAACACCATCCCCTCTGCACAATTCCAAACTGTTTACCTGCTTCTAGACTCTCAGCATCTGGCCTACATGAGCAGCCTGGATCCTAACCTGCACCCACAGTGCTGCCCAGGTCATTCCTGTCTTGTGCCTTGTTATCTGATCTACTGCTGTGCACTGTCCCTGACCAGACATTTCACACAGGACTCTGCTGGTGCTAGTGGGTTGGGGGAGAAACTCCTGATGCACTCAGACAGTATTTCAGTCATTTCTTTTCTCAGCTGTCAAATTCAACAATAGGACCCCGGACAAGAAAGTGATAAATGGGATCAAAGTTCAGTGCATCTTCCCCGTCATCTTGGCAGCTGTGAAACTAGAATGGAAACTGCCATCGAGGTACGAGAAATTCCCAGTCCCAGAAAGGTCTCATTTAAAAATGAAAGTCAAATACACACAGTATTTTTCTGCATATATTTACAATATAAATACCTATTTGTTTTCAAAGTACATATTCTTTTTAACAATTTGCAAAAGTTATCTAGAGTAGGAGAGCAGTTGAATGTAAAGTTTTTGTAGTAGTGACTAAGGAAAAATAGAACTGTTCTTGGGAAATGGGATTCTAGAAAAATTATGAAGGAGCATAATGATCTGACCTTGCAGAGGGCATGTGAAGCAGCTTAATCCACATTGCACCGTCAGTACAGCACGTTGCAGGGTGTGAGGCAGTAACCTGGGGGGAACTCATTGAAACTAAACTCAGGAAATGGAAAACGTATACATGCTTGCATAGTGCATTAATATTAAGGAAGCGTAGTATTTCATTCTCCTTTTCAATAACTTAAATAATACTTAAACACATCACACAAAATTAAAGATTTTGTGTATATATTTCAATTTCAACATTAATGTCAAAAATACATAGTATGATTTTACATAGAATTTGTGCTACATTAGAATACTGGAGACAAATATGACTTGAGTATTAAGGAAAACATTAAATATTAAATAACTGGGAAATATGTAAACACTAGTCTAAATGGGGGTGGGGGTGCTTGCTCTTGCAACATGTCCAATGAAGAGGTTTCAATGGTACAAAAAAAATGAGGACATGAGCTTTTCCAGTCTACTTGGAATATATGGATCTCATTCCAGGAATCCTTTAATAAAAACTGGTCCAGGATTAACAGGAGAAGATCCATTCTCCTGGCTATTAATTTGATACACTCTGTTCGATACGAATTTTTGCTTTCAGATGTGGTTACTGAGCAATCTACTGATCAACATCTTGGTGAAAACTGAGGGTTTGTGGGTGATTCCGTGTAAGATTTGAGCTCATATGCAGCACCGCTATCAACTTCCATCGACTTTCTGGAGAACAGGAGTCGCACATCTCTATGGAGGTAGATCTTTCCAGACTTAGAACTCTGGAACCTAGGCAAATGAACAAACAAGACACAAACATAAGCTGCAAATACTGAAGGCAGGAATATAAGCTTACCACAATATTACCATACCTCTTTACAAACACTGTTACTGCTAAAGCATCGTCTTCCATTTCAAGGATCTTCGACACTCCATTCTAGTAACTGTGGAGGTGCTTCTTCCTGTCCTTGCCCCCACCACACACAGAGCTTTCCTCATCCCCAGAACTGGCTCCTGACAGTCAGTGTATTGCAGTATGTACTGCAGTCATAGCATCTTACAGACGCACGGATAGATTAACTCCACACAACTTCATCCTCCCCCCCACCCCCCAGTCCTGAGGGGCTGTTCTTTGGCCCTTGGTGGCTGGACAGGTTTGGGCACAATCCTGCTGATCCTCTAGAAGCACAGAGACATCAGCACAGACTTGCTGGTCTCCTGCAAGAGGGAAAGACCCCAAGCTAGAGTAAACACAGTTTCAGTTCTTATCCGGGCTCCTTCTGGTCTGGTGTGCAGAGTCTGAGCAGAAATGATATGAACAGAGTCCACATCCCCTGACCATCCAGCCACCTGTGAGGAGCCAAATAGCCTGTCCTTCCCCCCCCTCGTCCTTCAGAGACAGACTAATATTTTCCCACTGTCACTCCTTCCTTATATCCCAACACTTAAAACTCTTGTAGCATTAGCCACTGGGGCTTGTGGCTATGTGAGCTGTGTCTGGAAATCCAAGTGGGGTCAGACAAGTAAACAGACAGACTTGGGTCTCCCCCACTCCATCTTTACATAGTCAATTTAAAATATAAAGTCCAGGGGCTGGAGCACGGTGGGTAGGATGTGTGCCTTGCAAACGAAGCTGACCCGGGTTTGATTCCCAGCATCCCATATAGTCCCCCAAGCACCTCCAGGAGTAATTTCTGAGTGCATGAGCCAGGAGTAACCCCTGTGCATCACCAGGTGTCACCCAAAAAGCAAAAAAAAAAAAATATATATATATATATATAGAAAGTCCACTCAAGAATCAAAAGTGACCACAGAAAGAGACCAAGTTCTGAGATCAAGATCTGAAAAAGGACTGCCGCCACCAATTGGGGCAACCATTAAAAACGAATTATTAAAAGTCAGGGGGCAAGTTATCAGTGACATGAACATAGTTATTAAAATCACACACAGAGTTTCTGTCTCCTTAGCAATATCATAACGATAAAAGCATGTCATATTACTATATTATTCTAGATGTTAGATTATCTAATAAACATATGAAGAAACTTTATATTCTATAGCAATATATTATAATATATAGCATATACTACACAGCACAAGATAGCTCATATAATGGCACAATATATGCCATAGTAATATGTAAGATGCTACTATATTAGAATTCTAATTTTATGGATATTGTGTAGTAGTATTATTATCGATGTTATTATTCAGTTGGATTTTATTACACTGTAATAGTTCTATACCCCAGGATGCCAAACAACAGGCAGAGGACTCCAAGACCGGGGGTGGGCCCGGAGGGGGGAGGGCAAACTGGGGATATTGGTGGTGGGAAATGTATACTGGTGAAGGTACAGGTGTTGGAACTCTGTATGACTGACATCCAATCATGAACAACTTTGTAAGTGTGTATCTAATCAACAAGAACAAAGACGACCATTTAAACTATAATATGGTGAGAGCTACTACCCAACAGACTCTCCTACTTCTAAGTGTCCACAGCTCACTCCTAGTAATTCCAGATCACCACTGTATGGCAGATCTATTGAATAATCACTGGTTGTTGGCATCAGTAAGAGAACAAAAGGGGTCCTTTTGCTTGGGCATTGAAAAAAGGCATCTCCTCCTGATACAGTGCTCTGGAGTAAGGAGTTGCACTGCAACAAATTAATGTACGGAGGTTAGGTACATGCCTTGCATGCATCTGATCCTGCTTAGATCCTCAGCAGATCCGTGGTCCCCTGAGCATCACTGGGGCCCTGGAGACCTTAGCACTCCCGAAGTGGCCCTGGGGTTCCTCCCCACTCCAGGCATAAGCAGCAGCCCATCCTCAAGCTCCTGCATCCAACTGCCAGAAGGTGTCCCTGGGCCAGAAGGTGCCTGCGCACCCCTTGGGAAGTGCTTCCCCAACAAAGCAAAAAACTGTCATTCTTGTGGCTGAGAACTTACTATGAAAAGAATTACAACATTATTAGCAGCATCACTGATTAAGATCAACATTAATCTTGGGAGCTCCAGTATGATTTCTGGCTAAACAGCTTCCTTAAGGGTTTTGGAAAACTCAAAACTAGAGGGCACACAACCTGTCTTTTTGTAACCTAGAGTTGTGAGTCAGGTACTATAAGCTTCTGATCTAATTTCTAGAATATAGCTCTATGAGAAAAGAGATTTCCTCACACAGACACCTAACAGTGCTGGGGGACCAGGAGGTGCCAGGGCTAGATTCTAGGCTTCCTGCATGCAAAACATGTGCTGACCTGCTCACTGAGCTGTCTCTCTGGTCCAAACAAGTGTTTTTATCATTGCTGTTTCCCTAGTGCCTAAAAGGATGACGACATAAATTGTTGTTGAATATGAACAAATACACATATAAATACTATGTATGAAGTCTAAGAACTTCTCTGTCCAATATGACAAACACCAGCCACATGTAGCTACTAAACACTTGAAATGTGGCTAGTGATAACTGAGTTGTGCTGTTGTATATTAGTATATAATTAACTTCAGGATTTAGTATAATGAGGGACTTAAAAAATAGCTCATGGATAAGTCTTATATATGCAAATGATAACAACTGGCTATGTTGGGTTAAATAAAATATATATATCTTTCTTATGTTAAGTGATAACATATCACTTTTACTTGGCATAAAAGCTGGTAGCAGGCACCAGTAAGAGGAAAGAAGGGGCCGTTACTCTACACGTACATGCCTGTGCACATATCTCACATTACAATTCTGCTTTAGAAAATGTGTTTTACTACTCTGGACATAGCATTTTGATATAAGGTGTTCAACACTGCACAGCAGAAACAAAAACTCTCCCAGTTCAACAAGCAAAAATGACCAGAGGACTAGATGCTATACTGGCGTATTATTGAGTGTTTCCAGGCTATCCAGAGCTAGAGTGTGAGCACTGCAAGTCAGTGAGTGACCTCTGCTTCCTTGGAGATGTGGACTCCCACCGCTTTCTCTTTCTATTCTTTTGTCTCCCTCACTCTTTATATTTCTCTAAAAACTATTTTACTTCAAAAAACAAAAACCAAAAAAGAAAAATGAACTTCAGTGAGCACAGTGATTGAGTGTGAGCACTGAAACCTGTTTGTGAACGCCGGTGGTACTCCACAACTGAAATGTGTGAGAGCCACAGGCAGGGGAATGACTGGTTTGTGATTTCCCCCTCCCCCCCCATCCAGCGGTGCTCAGATCTTACTCCTGGATCTGCATTCAGGGATCACTCCTAGCGGAATGTGGGGTCTCTAGGTGATGCCAGGGAGTGAACCCAGGTTAGTCGCATGTTCGGCAAGCACCACTGTACTATCTCTCTGGCCTCAGTGATTTTTTAAAATAACTAAAAAAATTAGTTTTACTTTTAAAATAACCTTTCATGTTCATTACCTCAGATGTATGAGGTAGCGTAATAACCGTTCTTCTGTGTGTCGAATGTTCTCTTTATTAATATTTCTCTTCATTTCTTGCTTAACAGGTACAGAAAATGTTCTCTGTCGTAGGAATGTCTGATGATTGGCAGGCATATCTCGTAAATCATATATCACAACAAACATCTTCACAACGGTCTTATTAGGGTTAAATAAGGTCTGAAGAAACAACAGAGAGATTATTCTTCAAAAACATTGAAAGAATGTTGACTTGAATCAAAAGATTGTGCAAACAATAAAACAGGTTTTTATAAATAATGAAGTGATCCCGGTGGGCATAATTTAGTTTGGGGAATTAAGGATAATAAAATATCAGAAGTTTACAAAATGAAACTAAACATTTTTCAAGACTCAATTTAAATTTTAATCTCATATTAAACCTCCAAATAAAAATCTTTAGTCACACACTTCCTATTAATAACAGAATGTGCAACTGATCTTTTGTTCAGATTTTAATAGTTCCACTAGATATAGCAAAATGCTCCCTACCCTGTCAGGGGGTGGAAATATTCTAGTTCAAGGGAATGAGTCCAATGAACTTTATAGGGACATTGATACTCTGGTAGTGGATGTGGACTGAAAGTATATTATTTGAAGAGCTGTGACAACGAATCTCTAAAACAATCATGTAAATGAATGCTATCTCACTTTAACTATTTCAAACATTTGCCTCATTAGAGTATTAATTGTAAAGTTCTCAGAACATAACTTTAAAATTTCTGTGTATTTTAATGGTAGTTTCTTAAAATAAAAATTAAAACCTCTTTTTGACTAAACTTTTTGGTGTCTTAAATACAGTTAGTGTAACATTTAAATGTATTCTTAGGCACATTTTTCTATTTGGAAATTTTTCCAGTTTTAAAAAATAAAATAAAAAAATAAAGTCCATTATTATTAGATACAAAGTTAGGCTAAATCTTATTTCATGGTCTCTTACTGAAGGCAGCACTGACAACCTTTTAAAATTATCCATTATCGTTAAGACCAAAATACATATTGTGAAGGCTACATTAAATTCAACTGATACTTACATGAATAATCAAACAATTATTATTTTTAAAAGTTCTACTTTTTAAACAAAATCCTAAGCTACTAATCTGACTTTAACCAAATTACCAACACATCAATAGGTAACTTGGTGCCCATGCTTTCAGAAGCTCATCCGTGGCACTGGACATCACTCACTGAATCAAAATGAGAAATATATCAATATTATGATCCAATTTTTGAAATCTAGTGAGTCTTAAGATTACGGCTAATACATTCAATAACCAGACCAACTAACAAGCTAGGAGTTCAAACCACATTTACACACTGTTAAACTCTAAAAATAACGAAACATATACCTAAGTTTCAAACTTAAAATTAATTATTAAATTGACAGCCCATTAACAAGAGGTGAATGTGTTGCTTCTGGGTTTATGCTTCACTATTATATCAAGTTATAGCTGGCTTTCCAGTGACTCACACTTTCTCACGAGCTACTAGCCAGAGGCAAGAGAACAGAAAAGTAATTCTTTAAGATCATTCTTAGAGATCATTAGACAATTCAACATAAAACCTCAGTTCAATATGCAATGATGTTTATGCATATCTATCACAATTCAAACACATATATAAATACATAGTGCTATGTTTCATTCCTGTGATGCTAAATAAGCCAAGTATAGACTCATTGCAATACTGCAGCAAAGATAATGAGAGGAAGTAGTCTCACAACAATTCATCATAGCTGAACCAAACGTGAAAAGGGTTATTGAATAGGATTACATTGGGAGTGCAAGAACTCAGCAAGACTCCATTTTCCTTTTCAGCCTTATTGAAATACAATGTGCAAATATCAGCACACCATCTAGACTCTCCAGTCTGCAAGAGATAGCTGTGACAGACTTTGTGGTTATGAGATTAACCTGGATCTGATGGAAGATAAACTCAACCACCAATTGGCCTTGTCATCAAACTAATCTTCTGAGACCCTCGCCCAAGAATAAGGGATTGCTCTGGGCTAGAAGAGTTTCAGACCAAAGAGAAGACTATGGTCTCTGCCCTGACATCTGTCAATATGTATTTCTGCTGTGTGTAACCATCTAATTAGATTGCCTTTAGGAATGATTACACTATGGATTAATACTGTTTTCTTAACCAAGTTTTCTTGCCAAAGCAATCTAATACCCGAGTCTCCTTTCAAACAGGTCAGAAAAGATCTAGCTAATTACATTAAATAGCAATCACTGGTAATGTCTAATTACAACGACAATCACTCTAATTAAGTTCACTCTAAACTGTCATACTCTAGTTTTCTAAAACATTCACCTTGATTAGCTTATTATGCTTTCCTGTTCTGGAGGTCCCCAAATGGCCACTTCTGGGGCAGAGCAGGGAAACTCCAAACCAAGCTGCAGCCCCACTGTTACTTACCAAAGTTGTTGCAGCAGCAGTAGCAGGAGAAAGGGCTAAGTTCTATATGTATGTGAGAGAATGATTATTGCAATTGTAGGCTATAAAACACATACCACTTGTATTGTTCCTGAAGGAGGTACTCGATAACCCCTTTTACCAAGGGACTCTAAAGTAATCACACCCTTGAAATGAAAGAAGACAAACTGAGTATAAATCGACTTATAGGTACATAAGACACTGAAATAAAAGCAATGCATTATACAATTACTAAAATTTCAGAATTACATTTAAGTTGAATTAATTTATTCCATGAGTATAAAATGAGATCTGGACTATGAGTATGAAATAGAGGGTTCCATACCTAATGAAATAATTTATTCTTCTTCATGAAGATTCTATCATAAATAACATAACACATTAATGGCCACACTGCTCAAAATTTCTAAGAGGGTACAGAAGCAAGAAGTTCCTAAACTAGGGCTGGAGAGACAGATCAATGGGCCAGAGTGCACACTTTGCATGCAGGAGGTCTGGGTTTTATGACTGTACTGCACATGATCCCCAAGTACTACCTAGTCCAGGGAATAGGCCGAGAATTGCCAGGTGTGGCCCAAAAATATTATCTTGTGTTTTGTGGGGTAAATGACATATTAAAACTATTGATTTAGAGTCACATAAAGTCATGCATGTAGATGGTTCTGTTCCTGGATAAAAATGTAGTCAATCATTCAGTCAAAAAAATACACACACACACAAATTCATTATTAGAGATCGTAGGATAACATTGGTTTGTCCTTTCTCCCTTGCCACGGAGAGCTTAGGTTTATTGAGTTACACCCATCACAGTGCTCCCGAGGCACTCCCATTCCTCTGTGTATCTGTAACCTCTTCTTGGTGCTCTGCTTCCCCAACTGGTCAATCACCTTTATCCCCAATCAGATTCTGTTGACTTGTAAGGTCAGATCCTTCTAGGACACTGGATTTGTATTTGTAAGTGAAATGTTGCTTTTCTCCTTCCTTTATATCTTTTTGCATAGTTACTTTAGAGCAATGTCCTTTCAGTATAGACACAGGAAGAGAGTTAATGCTATGCTTTTGTAATTTGGGAGTTAACTGACTCCAAATAGTATTCACTCCTGGGCATCTGTTTTCTCAACTTAAGCCTCAGTTGCCCTTAGTTCCTAGCACCCCAAACGCAGGGTCCCGACAAGGGACTGAATGGACCCAGGGCAAGCTGTGAGCTACCCTGACATCAAAACGGGCCAGGCCAAACACCATAATACTTAAAAGTTAAGAGCACGGTCATGAACAAATTCTGTCATGATCCAAAGGTAACAACTGGATTAGGACCCTGCTAGCATCTTGTTGGATGAGCGTTTGTCCTAGGAGAAGCTTCCCCTGAGGGAAGGACTTTACATCTGTTAATTGTATGACCACACCTATGTGTAATTGCTACCCCAACCTCCCATGATTTGGGGATATAACTAAGGCTGTAAGAGCGGGCAGGGGGAAGGGGACTGAGAAAAATAGGAAGAGAATCAAGACAAGATTGGAATAAACTGCCAGTGATCAACAACCGGCCCGGCCCTCATTTCCTTCTTCATCTGTCCACCACCATCGGCCATCCTGGGTGGCAGAAGTGACCTAAGACCACCGAACACAAGCGGTTGAGAGAGCGCCACGGTTTCACATTCATTTTTTTTGAATACACAAGATATGTACTAGCACGACCTATTAAAAATGTAAAACTTCTTTTATTGCTTTGTGTGTGTGTGTGTGTGTGTGTGTGTGTGTGTGTGTGTGTGGTGGGGGGGGGTCTTCACATCCTCTTACTCTCAAGCTATACTGAAGTTCTTTTTTAAAAAAATTTATTTTTATTTTTGGGTCACTTCAGGAGACACTCAGGGATTATTCCTGGCAGTGCTTGGGGGACCATATGGGATGCCAGAGATTGAACCTGGGTTGGCCATGTGCAAAGCAAACCACCCTATCTGCTGTACTATCGCTCAGGCCCCTTTATCAGATTTCTTTGAGTTCATCTTTAAGTAATTATTAACAAAAATGCCTGTATTATAATGACAGAATTTTCTGTGCTTTTGGCTTTGTAGCATGGTAGCACTGTCTTCCTATTGTTCACTGATTTGCTCGAGCGGACACCAGTAACCATTGTGGGACTTGTTGTTACCGGTTTTGGCATACTGAATATACTATGGGGAACTTGCCAGGCTCTGCCGTGTGGGTGGGATACTCTTCGGTAGCTTGCTGGGCTCTCCGAGAGGCTCTCTTGAACCTGGGTCGGCAAGGTTAACACCCTACCTGCTCCAGTATTATTTGTTAATGAGACATTCCAAAAGTAACAAAAAGAAGTTTGGAGTCTCCGCTCTGCTGATGTGTAATATAATCTCTTACTAAAATATGATCAGTCCTTTGGAAATACTAAGCTACAAAGTGTAAATTACATTCTGTAAAGAATATTAAGTTTATTAATTTATAGTAGGGAAGATTTGTGGTTTAAGACTTGGAACGAGTTATTTGCAAAGGGACCCCATTACTAACTTGTAAAGTGATTTGGAAAATAAAATTAGCCAATAGAAAGGTTTTTAAGGATGTGATTGGATGCCCAAAAGGGGGGGAGAGGGAGGGAGAAAGGAAAGGGAGGGAGAGAAAGAGAGAGTGAGAGAGAGAGAGAGAGAGAGAGGGAGGAGAGAGAGATGATGGGTAGTACTGGGGAATCAAACAGAGGCTGGCAGCATGCAAAGCATGAACCTTACCTCCTGTAATCTCTATGCTATTAAAAATAATAACTGGAAAGCATTAATGTACTTTCTTTTTTAATATCGCTTTCTTCTCTTTCATTATTTGTATATAGGAAAGCCATGGACTTTTGGGCCTGCCACTTTACTATATAAAATTATTGTTTCTAGGAGTATTTTTGTAGAATCTGTAGGATTTTCTCAGTATCATATCATCACAAATAGTCACAGTTTAACCTCTTCCTTTCCTATCTGTATACCCTTGGTATCTTTTTCTTGCCTGCCAGTACGATGCTGAATAGGAATGATGAGAGTGTCTTGTCCCGATCTTCGAGGAAAGGCTTTTAGTTTCTCCCCATTGAGAATGATGCTTGCTGTGGGTCTATGGTATATGGCTTTAACTCTATTGAGGAGAGTTCCTTCGATGCCCATTTTGCTGAGATTTTTCATCATAAATGGGTGCTGAAGCCTGTCAAATGCTTTCTCTGTATCTACTGATATGATCAAATGGTTTTAATCTTTTCTTTTATGGATATGAGGGATTATGTTGATTGACTTGAGAATGTTAAACCATGCTTGACTCCCCAGATGTACTTTCAATGGTCAAATAATAACACAGTACCAGGAAGATTTATGAAAAAAACAAACAAACAAACAAACAACGAAAAAAAAACTTTGTTTTGTTTTGTGGCCTTTCCCAGAATGGCTGAGCTCAGGAAGTACTCTTCCTTATGCTTAGCAGTGACCTCTGGCGGTGCTCAGGGAACTGGATCAAACTGAAGTTGGCCTAAGGGGCAAGACAGTGCCTTATCTCAGGCATTATCTGTCCCTCCCAAAGAATTGGTTTTGGTAACAACCAATGTTATGCATTTTTATGACTATGACCCACAAGAATGAATATTACTAGAAAAAGAAAACTTTAAATAGTGACAATAACATCAAAGGTTTCTTAATGAAACTTTCACCCTTGGAATAGAGTGAGGCAAGACAGCATTCTTTGAACAAACTGCAACAACAATGAGTATACTAAATCTCTAAAAAAGTGGGCCGGAGAGATAACACAGCAGGTAGGGTGTTTGCCTTGCATGCGGCCGACCTGGGTTCAATTCCCAGCATCCCATATTGGTCCCCTGAGTACCGCCAGGAGTAACTCCTGAGTGCAGAGCCAACAGTAACCCCTGTGCACCACCAGGTGTGACCCAAAAACCGAAAGAAAAAAAAAAGAACATATCTTCCTTGCTTTTCAATTATGCAGAATTCCTGTTCCCAGTTCACAACATTTATAACAAAAGACATTGTTGCTAAAGTCCTTAAAAATCGAGATGGGAAGGGAGTGGCATATTAGGAGAAAAAAAGAGTTAGGTAGGGGTTGGAGAGAGAGTGTTGTGGGCAGGGTACTTGCCTTGCATGTGGCTGACCTGAGTTCGTGTTCTAAGAGAAGTAAACCCTGAGCATAGCAGGGTTGGCCCCCAAACAAAACAAAAAATTGGGATAGGGGTAAGGCTAGGAAATTCATGTAGCAAGACTACAGTGTATAGCCTTGTAAATTGTCTACGGCAACTTATATTTATCAAACTAAGAGCTAATGTGAAAACACATCTGACCCCATATTTAACACCATTACTACAATAGCACAGCGGGTAGGGCGTCTGCCTTGCACGCGGCCAACATGGCCGACCCGAGTTCGATTCCTCCGCCCCTCTCGGAGAGCCCGGCAAGCTACCGAGAGTATTCGATATGCCAGACACAGTAACAACAAAGTCTCCAATGGAGACGTTACTGGGCCCGCTCGAGCAAATCGACAATCAACGGGAGGGCCTTTACCTTTACCTTACTACAAACTTCTTACACACTTGCCCTACCAGTCACTTTTCCGTTTTTGTCTTTTGTAGAAGGGCTGATATTAATTATATGTTAGACCTTGGGATTATTTCTGCAATTGAATGTTATTTTATCCTTTGTATATGGAAAAAATGGAAATGATAAAATAATGTACTTCCTTTGTCGTGAGGAGGGCACAGCCAGTGGTATTCAGGGCTTACTCCTGGCTCTGTACTCTGGGACTGACTCATGGTGGGCTCAGGAGACTATATGGGGTGCTAGGGATTGATCCCAGGTAAGCCACGAGCAAGTCAAGTGCCCTACCCATTGTACTATCTCTCTGGCCTCCAAATCTATGTTCTAAAAGATCAAGACTATGTACAAATACCTCTTAGCTATATTACTCTTGAGTAAAACGTTAGTATGGTTGGGGATATGGTTCTGGGGTAAAGCATTTACTTTATATGTAAGAGGCCTTGGGTTTGATCCCTAGCACCAGTCAAACAAGGTAAAATAAAACTTTAACATTGAGTTAAGTATAGATGGTAGTGCTGTACTCCCCTATTTAATCGATTTGCTCGAGGGGCCAGTAATGTCTCCATTGTGAGACTTGTTACTGTGTTTAGCATATCGAATACATCACAGGGAGCTTGCCAGGTTTTGCCGAGTGAGCAAAGTACTCTTGGTAGCTTGCCAGGTTCTTCGAGACGGGCGGATGAATCAAACTCGGGTCAGCCGAGTCGGCCGCGTGCAAGGCAAATGCCCTACCGCTGCGTTATCACTAGTAAGGTAAAAAAAAAAAATCTAAGGATTAAATAAATGATTCAAAAACAAATCTAATAGATCTAATAGATTTGGCCACCAAATCTTTATGCAAATTCTCCCAAGACGAGAATCTCACATGAAGGAAACCATCTAGAACTAGAGTACTCAGTCAGCATTTGAGTATGAACTTAAAGTGTGAATTATGGCTTATAGTGTAACTACTCAAAATTTGTTTCCTGCAGATCAAATAGAAGTTACCAGCATCATTCTCAAATACAAAAGCATCTGCTGTTAAAACTAAATGATGGGGCTGGAGTGATAGCGCAGAGGACAGCGCCTTGCATGCGGCCGACCCAGGTTTGATCCCCAGCATCCCATATGATCCCCCGAGTACCACCAGGAGTAATTCCTGAGTGCTTGAGCCTGGAGTAACCCCTGTGCATTGCCGGTTGTGACCCAAAAAGAAAAAAACCTAAATGAGTAGTTAGGAGATAGTTAGTAGTTTGGTATGTTAGTCACTATTTATCCGTCAATTTTCTCTTAGGAACTGTTTTTTAGTTCTAACACTGCACCAAAGTAACAATATCTCTTTAAACTTAAAGATATTTGCCATTAAGCTTGTTGGTTTTAGCAGAACATTAAGAAGTACTTGCCATATAAGGAGAGGGAGCATTATCATCAGAAACACTGTAGAATGACACTTCAACAGGAAGCATCAAATGCGTGGGACAGAATACACCACTTGCCCCCACCTCGGCAGTGAAGCCATCAACAATGCCAAGAGGATCTAAACGATAGTTCAAGACAGATTCCTGGAAGACAAACAGTAAGTTTTAAGAAACAAAGTTTAAAAGTGAATTGACTCATCTTTTTCCTAAAGAAAACGACCATGTTTTCTGGTACCAGTATAGAGTTTACTACCAACGTTATGCTCTGATTTTTACTATTCATCTGAAAAACACCCCTGCTCCCACCCATCTCCTCCTACTCTACTCCAATTTCTGAACATGACTTACTTTAAAGATTTACTGAATTCCTGTGGTCCTTGGGGCCCTGATGCTCAGCCTGGCAGGCTCTGTGAGGGTGGCTCTGTAATGCAGTTTGTTCTGGCCGAGCGACACCAGGGAACACATTCCAGGCATGTGCTCTGCCCCTCTGAGTTTCTAACCAACCATCTTTGAAATGCACCATTAGTTAAAACTGTTTAATCTGTTAGTCTTATCTCTGTAATAAAAAATATCCTCTAGGGGCTGGAGCGACAGCACAGCGGGTAGGGCGTTTGCCTTGCACACGGCCAACCTGGGTTCAATTCCCAGCATCCCATATGGTCCCCTGAGCACCGCCAGGAGTAATTCCTGAGTGCAGAGCCAGGAGTAACCCCTGTGCATCGCCAGGTGTGACCCCTCCCCCCCAAAAAATATATCCTCTAGCAGAGCAGGTATAAGGTCCGAGACTTTCTTACATTTTGCAGTCTATTTATGGCGCTAGCCACGCAGAAGCACTTGAGAATTTGGTGACATAACGGGTCATAAATAGAAGTCCCATCAAAAGGAAAGCTAAGCACTTATCATCTTTTTGTTTGTTTGCCTTTATTTTGGAGCCACACTCTGTGATGCTCAGGACCATTCCTGGTGGGGCTTGAGGGACCACATGTGGTGTTGTGGATCGAATCAAGTTGACCACATGCAAGACAACTGCCCGACCTACTGTATTATTTCTCCTGCCCCCAAACTTATAATCTTAAGTAATAATGTACTTGTTTTGTTGAAGAGGCCTGGGTTCAATTCCCAGCACCACATGATCCTCTAAGCATCACTGGGAACAACCTGAGTACAGAACCAGGAGTCCTAGGCACAGTGTGGAAGAAATCCCTGAGCACTGCCAAGTATGTGACCAATCCACCGCCCACAAAAAAATCCATAAAAGGTATCACATATGACATGCTTTTCATTGTTAGATACATTTGGATGGCAATGGTGATATGGGGATCAAACCATGTTCTCTACCACTGAGTCATGTCCCTAATCCACTTTATTTTATTTTTGCTTTCTGGACATACCTGGCAGTGCTCAGGGGTTACTCTTGGCTGTGCACTCAGAAATCACTCCTGGTGTTGCTCATGGGATTATATAAATATCAAGGATTGAACCTGACTTGGCCGCATGCAAGGCAAGCAGCCCACCCACTGTACTATGGCTCTACCCCTTTAAGTTTAATTTTTAACGCACATTACAAAAAAAAAGTTTAAAAGTCAGTCCTACAAAGAGTAGAGAAGCACTTTTTCTATTTATCCTAAGGGCATTCACTAAAATACAATTTAATTGTCAGTTATTTAACTGTAAGAATGAGAAACATTAAGCCTTCCACAATGTCTATTTATACATATATATGTATAGATGTAGTATTTTGGTATATTGTAGTATTTTTGTATATTGTATTTTTGTATATTGTAGTATTTTTGTATATTGTAGTATTTTTGTGTATTGTATTTGGTATATATATATGCATACATCGAGAAGTGATGTAGTATTTTTGTTTTAATTCATCATTGTTATTTTCTGAAGGAAAACATTGAAGTCCTTATCAGTCTAAGTTTGTGTGCTATAAATTTTAAACAGTGACATCAACAATTTAAAACTTCTCTGGTCAAAACAGTAAGAGAAGACGTGATGCTGGGGATCAAAGTCAGGTCGGCCAATATCCTTTTATTTCACAAACAAAATTATATATAAAACAGACATACTAAATCTAGGTTAACAAACTTCAACTCTTAAAATAGTTTCAAAAATCATTACCTCAAAATTTCCTAAAAGACTGAGACTTGTTATAGGTGGAGCACTAGAACTCAGAAATGGTTTTTCATGAACATCTGGATCATCTTCAATGTTTAAACATGACTGAGGACTAATAAAAAACAAACAGACAAATGAGCATATCATTTTTTTATAATATACTCTTATAAAGGTAAAGGCCCTCCCATTGATCGTCGATTTGCTCGAGCGGGTCCAGTAACGTCTCCATTGGAGACTTTGTTGTTACTGTGTCTGGCATATCGAATACTCTCGGTAGCTTGCCGGGCTCTCCGAGAGGGGCGGAGGAATCGAACGCGGGTCGGCCATATTGGCCGCTTGTAAGGCGGACGCCCTGCCCGCTGTGCTATCGCTCCAGCCCTCTTATAAATAAAAAACATTTTCTAATTTACACTTGCAAAAAATTAAATTTGAATCTTACTGATTTTACTTAAATTCCCATAACTATTATATAACCAAATTTCAAGATAAAAATAGTTTAAATTCCTAATTAGATTTCATTTTTTATAATGTTTGACAAAGAACATATATAACATTATAGAAGGTTTCAAGAGTGTGGCTTCAAAAGATATTAACACTTAAATAACATAACACAGTAGTATCTTGTATTATTACATATATTACTATACATATCGTAAAAGGTATAAGTAAAATATATCATTGAAAAAGTATAATTCAAAGTACGACAAGAATGATTGGAAATATACAAATCCACTCAGATGAGAAGATGAATATGTGTTTATTACATATAGTGACTATTCACTGTCTTAACTTTTCCTAACTTATCCTTAGTAATTGTGTATATGAAATCATACTAAACAGATAACCAATTAGAAATTAAGATTCTGTAGGGGCCGGAGTGATAGTACAGCCAGTAAGGCACTGCCCTGCACACAGCCCACTGGGATTTGAACCTGGCATCTTAAATGGTCCCCTGAACCTACCAGGTAGGTAATTCCTGAGCATAGAGTCAGGAGTAACCTCAACACAGCTGGGTGTGGACCCCTCACCAAAAAAAAAAAAAAAAAGAAAAAAGGAAAATAAGATTCCTCATAAAATATTTACTTTTTAGAGTCAAGTTAAAAATCAGAAATATGTATTTCATGTAAACAAAAAATTAATACAAATACCTTCTAGATGATAGGTTTTTAAGATGCAGTAATGAAGAATCCAGATCAAAGAAACCTGACTGTGTCTTTCTCTGAGGAACCTAAGAACAAAATACCAATTTGTGACATTTAAATAGACCATGACACTTAAATTAGTAAAAACACTTTCCAAATTAAAGTTGAGCTTATCATAAAAATAAAAGTATCTTTAGTGCCGGAGAGATTATATAGGAGGTTCAATCTCCAGCATCGTCTATGACCTGAGCACTGTGCCACTAACAGATGTGGCCCCAAACTCAAAATCAAACCAAAACAGTATATCCAGTAACAACTTATTTAAAATCATGTTCTTTTTTTAGACATAGTTTTTATGTTCTAATTTTATTAACTAATGTGGAAAAAGCAGATCATTAATAAAAACATTCTTACTGGCTTTTGAATTTGTTGTTTTGTGGCTCCACCCAGCAGTTCTCTGGGACTTCCCTTGGTGCAGCCGGGACACAGTGACTTTTGACCCACCTCCAAGGCTCCAGGTTTGGGCTTTTTGAGAGACTAGTTTTTTCTAAAACCAAATCTTATGTGGATCTCAATATAAAAAATGAAAGGACTTTAGCTTTCTTACTTTGCTTAATTTGCATTTGAGGAAGGAATAAAAAAATTCATTAAAAAAGCTGAGTCTAATTTAAAAAAATTAAACATTTAACAATTTTTATGTTGGTATTTTAAAAAAATGGTGTTTTCAATTCTGCTACAAGACTGACTGAATACTGCAGTTTTAACTAAAATGGCATCTATATAGGTCCAGAAAGAGTACAGGAGTTAATGCACATAAGGGCATTTGCATCTGACCCTAGTACTACCCCCAGCACTGTATAAGGTCTCCTGAACATCACCAGGACTTTCCACAGAGCACTGGGCCTGGAGTAGCACCTGAGCACTGCAGGTGTGGCCCCAAAAGAAAAGAAAAGATAAAAATGGCTGCTAGGGGCAGGAGCAATAGCACAGCGGGTAGGGCGTTTGCCTTGCATGTGACTGACCGGGGTTCAATTCCCAGCATCCCATATGGTCCCCCGAGCACTGCCAGGAGTGATTCCTGAGTGCAAAGCTAGGAGTAACCCCTGAGTATTGCTGGGTGTGACCCAAAAAGCAAAAAAAAAAAAAAGAAATGACTGCTATAGTAAATAAATAGAGTGCCTCCTAATCCTAGATTGTTAGGAGTGATATTAATTACCCACAACATAAAGGCAGACAATGGCATCCTTATTTTAAAGAGCAGGAAACAGGTCGGAGAACCGGTATTACTTGATGTCAGAAAGACAAAAGCAGTGTGATTCCAAACTGATGCTCTATCATTGGACTCATATCATTGGACTCAGTCTCCATGAGCACTTGTAAGTGATAAAAAAACAAAAAAACTATGCTTCAAAATATGATGATCTGTCATGTGTTACAAGTCAAAACAAAAGTCATGAATTTGGTCTGGCTGGTGACGTGGCCCAGCTCCAGTGCCCAGTGCCGGTGTATTTATAGCAAGTTCACTTGACACCAGGCATTTTCTCATCACTTAGTACCAAATGCTAAATTAAAGAATCTCAGAAAAATGTTATTCTACAATACAATCATCTTCATTTGATTTGTCTTCCTTTTTCATATTAAAATCTCGCTGTTGAATACGTAAAAAAGTTTTCCAATGGGAAATTTATTTCAAAAGTATTTGCATTTTTTTCAATTAAATTTTGGATTAAAAGAATTTGCAAACATTTAAGATGCTTGCAAGTTCTGAACTTGGGACGGGAGAGGAATCACTTACAGGGCTTGAAAGAAGAGGCAATCCTGTTCGAGGATGAAAGGCCCTCGTAGAAGTTCCATCCAAGGAATGAAAATTGTGTTTCTGCCAGACACTTGAATGTTTCAGCAGTGCAGTCCTCTGTTAGGAAAAAAAATTAGACTTCAATATTTAATTAAAATATGTGATATTTAATTTAAAATATGTCTATACATACACATACATACAGTCGAATCAGAAAACAATGAAGTTTTTTTTTCAGGGTCAGGGGGGCAGTTAGACTATGCCTGGAAATATGGTCAAGGTTTACTAATTATGAGATTTTCTAAGGTACTGAATAAACTCAAATTTTCCCTCTTTTTCAAATTATTTTTTTAATTTAAACCAAATTTTCTTAAAAATATATATATTCAAATACAACAGTCTTTTTCGGGGGTCATGAGATGCATAAAGACAGTCCCCACTGCCAAATTATGCACTCGTTTCCCACATTTGAGGGAACTCACAGTGACGGTCAGCATATCAAGGGTGCAATGGAGAAGCCTTGTTATGGAGAAACTACCTTTGTGATCATGGCATCTCTTCTGGGAGATAAGCACGGAGTACAATCGTCTCAATATGTGTGTTTTCAAAAGGCCAGCAGCGCTCTGTGTTCGGTGGTCTCAGGCCGCTTCCCCCACCCCGGGGAGGCCGACAGCCGGCGATCGTTAGGCGAAGGAGGAAACGAGGGCCAGGCTGGTACGAATCAACTGTAGTTTATATTCCAATCTCCACTCCCTTTCTGCTTCTCTCTCTCGAGCCTGAGCCCCTTTCATTCTCCTTCCGGCATCTGGATCTGACTCTGCCCCCTCCGCTCTTACAGTCTTAGCTTATACAGCAATCATGTAGGGTGGTGACACAAAGGTGGGTTGAACATTAACAAATCAACAAAGAGGGGTAAGAACACTCCTCCAGGAGATTAACTCAAGGATAAAATCTCATCTACAGAGATTATTCAAGGTTGGGATCCCAACAAGGGTGTGTCGCTTTCTTCTCTCCTCAGCTAGTAATCCACTTAAAAAGTTGTAGTAAATCTACTTCTATTATTTCTAGCAATGTCATTCTGTATGAGCACAGTAAGAAATATAAACTTTAGGCTTGGCTCTTTCTAAGGAAATCTCACTATATATTCCAGACCACAGTCCTTGGGACAGTGAGGACTAACCCCAGCAAGGTCCTAGTCTCGTTACTTTTGGATCATGACAGCATTTGTCCACGATCATGCCTTCAACTTATAGTTGAGTATTGTGGTGCTTTGGCCAGGGTAGCTGGCCAGGGTAGCTCACAGCTTGCCTTGGGTCCGTTCAGTCCCTTGTCGGGACCCTGCTTCTGGGGTGCTAGGAGGGCAACTGAGTCGAGAAAGCAGATGCCCAGGAGTAAGTGTTATTCAGAGTCAATGAACTCCCAAGTTACAAAGCATAATATTAACTGTCTTCCTGTGTCCATACAGAAAGGACATTGCTTTAAGGTAAACTATGCAAAAGACATAACTTACAATACAAGTTCAGTGTCCTTAGAAGGATCTGATCTTACAAGTTAACAGAATCTGATTCGGGGGAAGAGGTGATTAACTGGCTGGGGAGGAGAGCACAGAGAAGAATTTACAGATAAACAGAGGAATGGGAGCACTGTGATGGGTATAACCCGATAAACCTAAACTCCCTGTGGCAAGGGAGGAAGGACAAACCTATTTACCCTACATCAATATACAGTCATAACTATAAATTCTCAGGATTGAGCATCTAGTAAGGAAATGTTTGATTCTTTTTTTGTGTGTGTGAGGGAGGGGGCAGGAATAGAACCCAGACCCTCACACACACAAATCACATGCTCTGTCGCTATGCTACAGTGCCACCTAGTTTGACCTATTAGACTTACTAGCCACTGTCACTGTCCTCCCATTGTTCATTTGCTCCAGCAGGCCCAGTAACGTCTCCATTGTGGGACTTCTTGTTACTGTGTTTGGCATATCGAATATGTCACGGGTAGCTTGCCATGCTTTGCCGTGCGGGAGAGATACTCTCGGTAGCTTGCTGGGCTTTCCGACAGGGGTGGAGTACTTGAACCTAGGTCAGCCAGGTCGGTCGCGTGCAAGGCAAATGCCCTACCCGCTGTGCTATTGCTCCAGCCTGACTTACTAGCCAAAAAAATTTTCATACTGGCGGTTTAGAAAGATTTTACTCCCTAGTTTTTAAGCCAGGTGATTGCCTGTTTATATAGCCTTTATTTGTCAGTGGGTTACTTACAAAGGTTAAATATCCTTGTTACTTACAGGGATAATAAAGCTAGTTCTATAGCAGGCTTAAACTGAACAAACATAAATTATATGTTCAATCTATAGAAAATAAATACATTGGCCCTATATAACTTATCACCTATAAACAAATTCAAATCACAAGAAATGTTTGAGAATTTCAGATACTAGATATTACCTCTGTATTTTTCAGTTGTTCACAGGAAGACAAACTGTTTTTTACACTCTTAGTCTGAGGACTGCTTTGAGAATTTTCATCAATTGAATCTTCCTTCTTATCTTGTTTGCTTTTTAATAAGTCTTGCTTTTTACATTTGACGCTTTCATTGTCTTTGAGATAATTTTCTATACTATGAAGCTGAGTCTTTTGTTCACATGTCTTAGGTCTTTTTGAGTCTTTGTTTGAACACTTATTTTCATCTTTGTTCAAATATCCAGTCATTTCCAATCTATTAACTTTTACTTTCGAGTCAGTTTGCTTTGTATGATCAAATTGGTGATTGTTAGAGTCTGTATTACAATTTTCTTTTTCTATTATTTTTTCCTTATACTTATTTGTGCAAATCTCTCTGTCAATACTGTTGCAATTTGAATACTGTTTATTGATTCCACTGCTAACTTCTTTTTCCTTAAACTGACACTCAGAAAGTATATTTTCTGATTTGATTGTCAACTCTAAGTTATTCTCTTTGTAATGAGGTATATTTGAGGGAGTTGATAAATTACAGGCATTGTCATGTGTCTCTTGAAACGTGCTTTGGATGATTTCACTAGGACTTTCCTGATGTGGATTTTGTCTTATGTGGGGTTTAAAAGAGGCCTTGTCAGTACTGTTGCATTTGAAGGAATGAAAAGGTTTACTAGGTATTATGTTTTCCCCTTCACTGCTGTCTTCTAACAAGGAAAACTTAGTACTAGAGATGAAAAAAGGGGTGTCACACTTGTTTTTCTTCAACAAATTTTTGTCTTCATAGGAACTCCTAAATACTTTGGAAGGGACCAAGCGGGAGTCGAGGGTGCCGAGTGCCTTCCGGGGCAGATGTGACGCGGTTGGGTCAATGTGCTCCAAGTGCTGGGCAATCCGTGCGATGACGTCTTGTCTCTCCTGGAGTAGAGAACCTATCAGAGGATTCGTCTCACTCACATACTGCCGAGAGCAAGGCCCGTTAGAAATGCAAGTGTCGTTTTGAGAGGTTTCTTGTTTTACTCTAATCTTCCCCTCACTGGTGGTGTCTTCTGAGGAGGAAAGTTCTGGATGACCAAAAGTGACAGACAAAGCTTCTTTACATTTTCTCACATTTTCATTGTCTTGGGAAACTCGGAAAAGTTTTGCATGAAGAGAACTAGACTCCTGAATATTAAATGGATTTCCAGAAGCATGGGAAGAGCTCGGATCACAATGAATCAAATGCTGAGCAATTCTTGCAATAACTTCTTGTCGATCCTGAATTAAAGTACCTATTAAAGGATCAGCGTCCCCAACTGGCTGCCAGGAACCCTGCAAGCTAGGGACACTGGAATCAGTCACTGAGAATGATTTTAAAGTTCTCACTGATGTTTCATGTGACTTTTTATCTCCTACACCACTGAAGCCCAGCACACTGGCTTGTGATGTTCCATAGTCAGATTTACTGCCCGCGCCTGGACAGGCTCTGGTAATCTTGACAGCTGCAGTATATTCTGGAGTTGTGCCTCTCCTGGCATGTGAAACACTCTCAGGTGCCATGGTCCATGTTTGTTTGCTACACAGACGCTGCGAGCTATTTGTACTACATTGCTCTGCCTCATTAGAAACGCGGTGCTGAAGAGTTTTAAGTTCATGCTCGTGAACTCTGCTCTCATAAAGGCCAATGTTAGTGTGAATACTACAGGTCAAAATTGGGTAATTTGATTGTCTGGGTAGGGACTGAACGCTGACTTTCAAGGCCACATTGTGAGAAACGTTAGGAACAGGAAACACATGTTCAATTGGAGTCTGTGAAAAACTCCACTGTAGGTCAACGTCAGCAGCACTGATTCTAGAATGACAAAAGAACACTGAATGGGTTATATGATTTACATCATCATCAAATATTATTTTACACGTTCAACTGTTACCTATTATCAGTTTATATTCATTACTACTGAGGTCTTATTTTTAGACATCATTTTGATAAAACCAACAAAAGTAGTTTAATAGATTCTTAAACATCATGTTAAATAACAGACAAATATTAATAATTATTATTATTGGTGACGGGGAAGTATCTAAAAATGCTCAGGGAGTACTACTGTCTCTACACAAGTGTAGTTAGAGCAGATTGTACACTAGTGCTGAGTCACTGGGACCCCAACCCAGTGGTACTGGGGTGAGAAGCAGTCAGTTCTGAAGATAGAACTCGTGGCTTTGTGCACATCAGGCATGTGCTCCAACCCTCTGAATTATGTTTATGGCCCAAGATTATCTTCTTTTTTGCCTTGGGTGTGGTGGTGGGGGTGAGGGGGCAATTCTAGGTCACACCCAGACATACTGGAAACCTCCTAGCTCTGTGCTTGGGGGTCGTTCCAGCAGTGCTCTGGGGACCCTGTGGTGCCAGAGATCAAGTGAGAGGAAGGAAAACCAGAACAAGGATGGAGTGACAGCACTGGGGTTAAGAATCTTGCCTTGCCTGCTCTTGAGCCTAGTTCGATTCCTCAAACACTGCCCTGAGCAACACGGGGTGTGACACAAACTCTCCCTCCCTATAATAGATACCAGAATACATGAGGAGTAAAGTTCAAGAATGTTATAATTAAAAATTTATCAAAATAGAAAAAAGAATTTTGGGTTTACTACTAAAAGGATCTACTTTTCTTGTAGAAGGTGATTAGTGGATACTATATATCTCAAGGACACCTGTGTAAGTAGCAAATTAGTTAATCTTGATATTTATGATGTCAAGCTAAAATGATAATAAGATGCCCAAAATTAAGTCTATGTGGCCATTCTGAAACTGACTTTACAATTTCCCATGGCAAACCTTAAAACTATTCCTGGTTCTTTAAAACAAGCTTAAGAGTTCACTGAAAACTATACCAAATTTAGCATAAGAAGTGAAATTCAGTTTGATTAAATTGTTTCATACTAGATTTTTTTAGAAAAATTTCAATTTTCTCTACTTAGATTTAGAATAGAAGAAATATACTATTTAACTGGTGAAAAAATATGACTCAGTAACCAGGGCAGATGAATATGCAATTTGTTTGGTTGCTGTTCTTTCCCCTTATATATACCTGTAGAGAATATTTCGTGGAATAGCACCATGAGAAACACTCAGCCAAGCACTTAATTGAGAAAAAAACACAAACGAGCGAACAGCCAATAAAAGTGTCTTCTCTTCAATAAATCGATCGCCATTCCTAAGGGAAATAAAAAAGAGCATAATTGAGTACAATAACTGAATTTTAGAAAGACATATGCCAAAATAAATATTGTTTTCAAGAGCATCTGACAACATTTAATAGTGTCACCTAAAATCACCCAGGTACTCAATATTTAAATTTTACTGTATTGAAAGATTCAAAGTAGTACTATTAAAATATATAGAAAGTATTGCAAAACCCGTTTGACCCAGAACAACTTCGAACACAACAACTCACTGTCGAGGAACTGGCTCCAGAATCCATCTTTCCAACAGCAAGGCATCTTGCTTGATGGCAGGGTCATTGAGGTCGAGCCCTTCCATGGTGGGCCCTTCGTCACTGTAGCAGCAGTCTGGCAGCAGCATGACCTCCACCATGACGGGAAGGTTGTTCTTCCACAACAGTGTGACTTCAGACCTGGTCCGTCTGGCTTGGCGACACTTAAACAGAAAACCGATGGAAACATATCATCTCAGTAACTCACTCAATTTTACATTTAAAGTGGAAAACTGTAATTGTAATGCATCTGTATGAGAAATGTGTCATGTACTGCGGATCTTTGTTCAGGCTGGTTTATTTAGGTTTCCTCATTAACATGTGGTCGGAGGTGCATACCACAGGTAACTCACACACTTGAATGTGGTTTATTAACACAACCTGCAGTGCTAGCACTGATTTAAATAATGTAATAACACAGCAAGTGCTAGAGTGTGACGATTATTCCTTAACATTTATGATGCAAATTTTCTTTTCCTTTTTTTATTGAATCACTGTGAGATACAGTTACAAGCGATGAAATTTTTTTTAAGGTAGGAATATCTTTGCTTTAGCTTGTAGAAAAAAACTGCTGTATGCAATGTCTTACAGACCTCAGGGTTGGCCAAACCCTGCCTTGTTTGCTAATTTCATCATTATTACAGTAGAAAACAGTTCAAAAGAAGACAAAAATATAAAAAACTTATTTCATTTATTTTTTTATGAGTAGATTATAAGCGTTATGAACTCATTAGTATAACCAGATTACTTCATTATCTGTGCAAAAATATTAGTATTTTAAGAAGGGGTTGATGGGTTGGGCCGTATCAATGGGTGGTCAGGGGCTACTCCTGACTCTGTTCAGGGGACACCCCTGCCAGTGCTCAGGGAACCAGATGTGGTGCTGGAGATGGAAACTGAATTGACCGCATACAAGGCAAATGCCTAATCACTATATTCTCTCCCGCTCCTTAAGATTTTTAACTTTGTAATATATTTAAGAAGGTTCTGGAGAGAAAGTATAGAGCTTAAGACACTTGCACTACATACACAGAATCCTGGTTTGAATCCTCAGCACTACGAGTGGTCCCCTAGGCATCACCAATGAGCCAGAAAAAGTACCTGAGCAACACCAGGAGTGTCCCTCAAATCAAGCCAAACCAACCAGCTGGCCGACCAACACCCAAAAGAAATATATTTAAGAAGCTGACGGGAAGAAACTGCTGATCACAAACTACCTGTCAAATATTTTTACCAGTATTATACAAAAACAGTAAGGTGATAACAAAAAGTGTCCTTCCACTTTAAAAAAAGGAATATAAGTAGAAACCTAATTCGTGTACGGAAAGTAACTATGAACATCAACCTACTAAAAAAATAAGAAAATATAGTTGATGAGTCTAGAACTGAGACCCTAAAAATAAAGCGAAGTCACAGTAGCAAAGATGAGCTTAACTCTTGTTTGTGGGAAGGCGGGTATGAGACATCAGCGTGCCTTCTTATATGTGCAGACCTATACCTATCTCTGGTCCCTTGCTGAAGGGCCAAAGTTACTAGTACGGTTTAAGATTTTTTTCCTTTATGGCCGTGAGCAATTTAAATATATTTAAATATGAACATTATTTTGATGAAACAAAGGTGGCAGTAACATTGAAACTATTTTCCATAAAGATAAATAAAAAGTATTCAATACAAAACTCACCTGGGCCAGCTTGTCGCTACACTCATGTTTGGTAGCTACTGGGTGACAGGCCTGTGCTGGGGGGCAGTGGGAACTCTCCGTGCGACCCTTCACCGAGCACTCAGGAGTCCGTCCTTCTGTGATCAGCAAGGCCAAAGACACCAAGAACTCTTCTGCATCATATTCAAAATATTCATCCAGAGTATCTATAGTTTGAGAAAGAAAAGAAAGGTCTCCTTTTGATGTACTCTCAGTAAGAACTTGGCTTTTATGCCCAAAATAATGAATGTTGGGGTTGGAGAAATAGCACAGCGGGTAGGGCATTTGCCTTTTACATGGCCAACCGGGTTCGATTCCCAGCATCCCACATGGTCCTCTGAGCACTGCCAGGGGTAATTCCTGAGTGCAGAGCCAGGAGTAACCCCTGTGCATCACTGGGTATGACCCAAAAAGAAAAAAAAATGAATGCTACATTCCATATTACATTCAATGTGAATGTGAGTTCAAGCCTGGGTGGATTTGGTGGCCGAGAACCACCTCCCCAGGCCGACAAACGAAGGAATGGGGTCACAGGCTGGTTGGTAATCGGTGACCTTTTATTCAAGTCTCAAAGCATTAGTTTTATAGAAATCGTGAAGGGTTGGGGTACACATAGGTGTAGTTGAACATTATCTTAACAACAAATAGACAACAACTCTGCTTCAGGGGAAATTCTTCTAGGAGATTAACTCAAGGACAAAATATGGGGGTTTAGCACTCTAGATTACTAGGAGATCCGCTCAAGGGTGGGGCGCTCAAAGGCAGGATTCCATCTGAGGGTGGACTGCTTTCTTCTAGCCTTTTAGCTAGTAATCCATTTAATCAGATTGGATACTAATATTTCTAGTCATTTTGTATGAACACAGTAAGATATATAGCAAGCTTAAAGAATGTCTCTTCATGGGCACCTCTCACCATATATCACAGACTACAGTCCTCAGGCCAGCTTAGTCTTTCCTAACCCCAGCAAGGTTCTTATCCAGTTACTTCCTTTTGGGTCATGACAGAGTTTGTTCCATGAGCATGCTCTTAACTGTTTATACTTCTTATAGAGCTCAGCTTGACGCTTTGTGATGTCAGGGTAGCTTGTGGCTTGCCCTGGGTCCATGCAAGTCCTTTGCTGGGACCCTCTTTGGGGGTGTTAAGGGCAACTGAAAGATGTATGCCCAGGAGTAAATATTATTCAAGTCAATAAACTCCCATGTTACAAAAGCATAGCAAGAACTGTTTTCCTGTGTCTATACAAAAAAGGCCATTGCTAAACTATGCAAAGGGCATAAAGGAAAGAAGAGAAGCAAGATAGGATTAGGAATGCGAGACGGGATTGGGTGTGCCTCAGAAGCACTGTGATGGGTGCAACTCAAAAAACCTAAGTTCCTGTAAGAGGAGCAAGGACAAACCACTATTATCCAATATTCAAGGATATTTAATAACAGAATGAAAGAACTGCACTGCACTTTAGAACTGTTCTCCCATTGTTCATCGATTCGCTCGAGTGGGCACCAGTAACATCTTCATTGTGAGACTTCTTGTTACTGTTTTTGGCATATATCGAATCTGTCACGGGGAGCTTGCCAGGCTTTGCTGTGCGGGCGAGATACTCTATGTAGCTTGCCCGGCTCTACAAGAGGGGCGGAGGAATTGAACCCATGTTGGCTGCGTGCAAAGCAAATGCCCTACCCGCTGTGCTATCACTCCAGCCCTAATCAAACTACAGATCAAAATTTAAAAATATCCTAAAACATGTACTATTTGTTGAAGTAAATTTGTATTATAAAATACGCTGAAACAGGCTGGCCAGTTAGCTCAGTTGGTTAGAGCGTGGTGCTGATAAAATACGCTGAAATAAAATTGGATATTTATAGTTTTATGTTTACATGGCAGATATTTATCCATTTGGTTTGGGTCACACATGGCAGTATTTGGTGCTTGGGGCTCATACTTCAGTGGTAGAACCAAGTGATGCCAGGGACTGAACCCAGAACTCCAACATGCAGCAAACATTCTGTCCTATTATATCCTACCTACAGTTTTATTGTTTCTCAATAAGCCATTTTTTAGTAGAAATTTTAAATAGTTCTACAATGATTTGTTTTTGAATCCTGATTGCATGAAGAACAATCTGGAGAACTGAAACATACAAACACACACACACACACACACACACACACACAAATAGGGCAGGAGATACTGCACAGATTGAAGTTATATGTTGCATACAGGAGGCCCAACTTTGCTCCCCAGCACAATACAACCTCCTCAGAACTCTCTAGACCAACCTTAGAGCACACTGCCAGGAATGGTCAATGAGAACCTTGGACATGGCCTCCAAAGCAAAACAAAACTAAAACAACAACCAAGAAACAAAACAATTTAGAAACAAAAGTTAAAGACCCGTTAAAACCGGGAATTAGATTATTCTAACAGTTTCTGCACTAATTCTAATGGGCAATTAGGATGGAAAACCACTACTCTAGCTGGAAGTTAAAGACCAAAAAAGTGAGGAGAAAAGGAGGATATCCACCAAGGCAAATCTTACACAGTACAATGACAAACAGGCAAAACCCTACTTTAGCATATGTACACTGGAGTTACATTTTCAGTTATAAATGCAAATACGCACTGTTATACTCATGTGTAGCAGAGGTAGAAGTGTTTATCTGCGAACATTCTGGGGATTTGACAGCCTCTCTCCAGATTTTTTTTTTTGGTTTTGCTTTTGGGCCACACCTAGCCATGGTCAAGATTTGCTCCTAGCTCTGTGCTCAGGGATCATTCCTGGGGGACTCAGAAAACTGTATGGGGTGGCAGGGATCAAACCTGAGTTGGTCGTATGGATGGCAAGCATCCTACCCACTCTACCAGTGCTCAAGCACCCCCCCACCACATTTAACACGTGACTTTTCCTAATAAAATTCTCTAAAAATAGTTACAGAGACAAGAAATGTAGCTCAGTGGCAGAGTACATGCCTGGAACACATGAAGTCCTTACTCTGCCACTAAGTATGAAGTTCTTGAGCTAAAGAAAAAAAATTGTTTGATATTCAAATTTAACAAGGCATCCTGGTTTACAGTATGAATTTAGATGTGTGTGTCTTTATTAACAAAAAAATTGAAAACACTAACATAACAATTCCTCTATCAACATGTATAATACAATATAAATAATAAACATAAAATATAGTAAATGAATATAATAAGAAAAGCCTAAATGATAAAATTTACGATGAAATACTTCACTAAAGCTCAAAAATGAAGCAGAGATCTGTATGCCTCTACAGGAGATATTCAGGGACAATGCTGCATGAAAAGATTAAGTTTAGAAAGTCTGATCCCATTTTTACTTAAAAAAAATTCTTAAGATATTTTATGTTATGTATGCTTATATGAGAATAGGGAAAAGAGTGGGGATGCACAAAAACGTACATATTTAGTCCTAGACAAAGACATAGGAAAAGGTATTGGAGAATTACTAGTTTGTACTGTTTTTGCAAAACACCATGTACTACTTCTCTAAATTTTAACCCAAAATTCAAAACTTGAGTGGAAAAAGGAAAAAAATCTCTAATATATATATATATATACATTTTAAAGTGTATGTGCTTAACGAAACACACACAAAAACTAGAGGACTACCAAAATTTTGCTTTTCTAGATATTTCTTAAAAACTAACAAAATATGGGGCCAGAGCGACAGTGAAGGGTTTGTGGGCTTGTCTTGCACAGGCACGACCCACTTTGATCCCCAGCACTGCATACGGTCCCCTGAGTGAAGCCAGGAGTGATCCCAGAAACAAAGTGTGAGGAGGAGTAAGCCCTGAGAGTGAATTCAAAACGTGGATACGTTTGGTGCCCCCGGCTGGTTGACAGCGACAAAAAAATGGGGAAGGAAGGAATGGGGCCACAGGTTGGTTGCTTTCCCGGGATTGGGTTACCTGTGGCATCAAACCTGACATGGCAGTCCCTGGCCCATGTGTTTCCCCTCTTACACCGGGGACAGGTGGTGCTTTCCTCTGATGCTGTGGACAGGGCCCAGGTGGTACTTTCAAGGAAGCATGGCCGTGAGGTTCCTCACAATCTTTTCAAAAATGGACTGACTTGCCACAATTGGGACATTTATTCTGAGCCTGTCTCTGTACTGCACAGGCCTCAGCAGCTTTCATCTGTGCCTGATGTTTAACAGAACCAACATTACGACACGCCTTCATGAACCCCATTATGTCCTCCTCCTCTTCTATGTCTTCCTCCTCCTCCTTAGTGAGGCAAAGAACAGCTTGGCAGACCTCGTTAGAATTTTCAAAAGCCAATTGTTTCGACAGGTGCTCCTGAGTTTCCTTACCCTTAAACTGCCTCTCAATAGCCTCTGTCAACCTCCCTATAAAGTCTGTATATTGTTCTAAGGCTCCCTGAACAAATTTTGTATAGTTTCCCTTAAATTTGGCACCTGCATCAATCTTTTCCCAGGCATAGGACTGCCTCGTGGACATGAGCAAAAACAGCATGAGGCAAGGTGACTTGCTTTTTGGGTCCTGCCATTTCCCTTCATCTACTAACATCTCATAAGTCAATTTGATCCCTGAAAATTTTCACCCAGAATGATCTGGGCCAAGAAGTTTTGCCTTGGCCTCATCACTGAACCGGATCCTCTACTGCAAGTACTGAGAAGGGCATAAGCACTTTTTAGCGACCACATGAAAATGTTGGGGTACCCAATGGGTACTTTTACTCCAGCCTCTAAGATATTCCTTACAGGATGAAGATGTACGTCTACACCAGGCACAGGCCTTTTTGAAATGACTGAGTGAATCCATTCTTAACCCCTCATAAGGGGGAGGCTGATTTTCCTCCAGTTGGACCAGGGAAAAAGACATGGAGTTTGTGCAGTTTGGGTGGAATCAACCATTTATGGTCTAGAGGTCTCTGCTGTAAGTTTCCATCAGGAGTGGGAGTGCATCACACGTGGCTGTGAGGTGCTCCCTCTGTGGGAAGCCTTCTCTACCATGCCGCTCCGGGACTCAGAATCTGAGGAGGTGACGGCTGGCCCTTCATACACATCATTTTGATCTGATGTACTGCAAGTGGGGTCATATGGAGGAGATGGGGGTCTCTCCAGTTTGACATCAGTAGAGAACATTAATTCACCAGCCTCAGAAAGATTTCTACTTTG